CAATCTTCTTTGCCAACCACATTATTACAGCATTTCTATTGTAAGAAACACTCTCTAGATGGAAAATGCTACTTACACAATATGCACCTTCGATGGTTCTATGAAATAGGCCGACAGTTAGTGGCTTTTGTTGTATTTTGTAGTTTTGCTGCAACAAAATCAGGGACTATGCTCTGGATTTATGCCTGGACAGATTCTTGGACACTGTATACTATTGATTGTCCCTTTGCATGAGGCTAATGATGCTGCGATTTTGTCTTGGCATTCACTCTCTTCTAATCTCCAGGGACCGCTACTGGTCCTCTGCCATCCTGTTTCTCTACATTTGACCTACGGAAAAGTTCAGAATCAGTAAATCCTGGCACACAACGTTGTATATGACCCTGAAAGTAAATAACAGATATATTTAATAAAGTTCAGATTAATCATGATAAATCAACTTTGAACCATGTTAGTTGACCTCAGATACATGTCTATTTTGTTTTATTCATGTATGTTTATATTTGACTCATATACACATATTTGACTTATATATATTTGATTCAAATGTCAGTGCCATGTTGCTAATACATGTGCTGCTAATCAGCTGTTTAAATATGTGTCAGTCTTCACTATTGCCAGTAGAGGGCAGCAGATATCCAATCCAAGTTTTTGCGAAAGAACTAAAATCTAGAGTCTACTACTATCTAGAGTTTGCTGAATAAAAGCTCAATATGGGCCCATTCAAATGGCAAAAAACCATCCCATTTCCCATAATGACTCCAGTCTGGTCTTTTTCAAAACCTTAGGACAACCTCTGTTTCCTATTTGCCTTGTTAGACGGTTCCTGACTGGAGGAGCATGACACAGCAGACTGCGTATTCAAAGCACAAAGCTTTATTTAATTTGCAAACAACAAGCTGTGGCTCTGGGAGGTGATTGGACCTCAGCTGTCTACAGATCCCCATCGCATGATTCATCACCACGATATTCAGTCAATCAGTGCAAGTGAGTCAGCAGCCGCCTGGTAAAGTACAGCCCATCCATGCTGGGTTTAGGCTTACTACATACTTACTACATGTACTATAATAATATTTGAGAGGGCAGATATTATCACTGATCAAACCCAAGTATAATTTCATTGAACAAATGGATTATGCAGTTTCAACTAAATGGTTGAGTTATACCATATTCATGTGGTTTTCCAGATGATTTTAGGCTTACTAATACTTGAAATGGCAGGTATAATCACTGACCAGACACAAGTAATTTCAATGAACTACACTGAATTCTTATTGAGTTTTTTTTTTTTTTATAGGAAGACCATTTTAATATCTGTCCATGAACTGCAGATTTTTTGGGGTAACTCTGGGGCAAAAACATTTATCATTGTCCACTGTCCCAGGGAAATAAACCAAATAAATAAGCACCAGAGAATTGTAGGTTGTTAGGTAGGGATGTTGCAAGCAGTGATTCATCACCAAGTAGCTTGCTGCTTTATGCAACACTTTGAGGACTTTCAAAAAAATACAATAATTTCTTTTAAATTGTTTATCACTATGGCAAGAGTCCTAATTTTTCCACAATCCTGAAAAGCATGGTTAGATTTGGCATGCTTTATTTGTTACTCTGTTACCTTTCCAAATGCAATATTATCATTTATGTGCTTGGTGTAAAATAACAAATTGGTTTGTGATTTATTACATTTATGCATCTTTCCTATTGGGTTACTGAAAAAGACCTGTGCAGTGCTAAATCAAATCAACATGATCAAAAACCTTCTGCTACTATACTGTTGATTTTACAGTCAGTACTTACTTAAAGCGGAACTACTTTGCAAAATTGACTTTCAGGGCTTTTACCTATGTTATAGTTGTTTCCCCTCGCCATGCATTCACCCGAAGTTGTATTTGGAGTGATTTGTGCATGTTTGAGCAATCTTTAAACACTTATTTTCAATACATCAAGTTCAATCAACATTTTCACCCCCACCAGCACATGCCCACTGCTCTGTACTAACTTTTTTCTCAAATTTTATTTTTTATTTTCTTACTTTAAGTGGTACTTCTATCTTTGTATAGTAGACCTACCATTACTTCTATAGCTAATAGATAGTGTAATTACTTCTTTTAATCTGTTTGGCCTATGTGCATTTATATATTATTTTCCACTTCTCTCTCATGCTAAATTACAATAAAGAAGAAAAGGGAAGTTATTGTACCGAGTTAATGCAAAAAATATGGGAATCCTTATAGCCCTAATAATGTCTTATGGAAACTTCATTAAAGCCATCTCAATCACCCTGGTCTAAAGAGCTGAGTGAGACAGTACCACTCGGAAATACTTTCACATGAGCTTGCATATTTCCCGTGCATGGATCGATCTCAGAGGTGGGGCCTGCAAAAACATATCGGATGTCTTACCCGCTCGATATGTGTGTTAATGTTGTGCACCGCTCGCCATCCGGAAACTACTGATGGAGGAAGAAGTCTGCCTCCTCCTCCTCCTCTTCGGTACACCCCTCAGAGAGCAGTGTCCTCGAATAGCCTCGCACTAAATGGACAAAGAAATGAATCAAATCGTCTGGGCGAGCTGCAAATGACTATTCATGTCAGATGTTGATTTGGTTTGCGAGTTATTTTCCTAAAACGTGAAAAAGATGTGGGGGGAAAAAGTGGGTATATTATAGAAGGTTTAATAGGGGTAGTATGCCCTGGTCTGCATATCAGTGCACTCTAGTGGCCACAGAGGGAACTGCTGGTCATCTTTACAACCGTGTATGGTACTCGGAACTTCTTTAAAGGTGCAATATGTCACTTTTCTGGGGATTAAATGTATGCATCTCCATGAAGAAAAGCAGGTGATGCCACAAGGATTAGTTATGTGTCAAATCTGTGGAAAGGTGACTCTGCTCACTGTAAAAAAAACAAAAAAAAAACATTTTTTAAGCAATAAAAAGATTACTAATTTAATAAATGTAAGATAGGTACATTTAATGCGACACTGTAGGGCAAAAACATCTCTATAGAGACAAGCAGGTGGCAGACACTTGGACAGAAAAGTTGGACAGTGACCTTTAACATATTTTACATTTACATAGTAGACATAGGACAGTAAACAATATTATTGGTAATTGTGCTAAAAACAGAAGCAGGAATTGTTTGTGGTACATTTTGTATAATGGTGATAATCACGACTACACTATACAGAAAACAAAGCTCTCCTAAGTCTTATTTATTTACACTTTACATTTCACAGTTCTATATTACGCAAAACTGACTTTTGTGAGCTTTAAACAATGTTGAAATGTTGTTACTTCCTCAAAATGAATGAACAAATCACAACTCCAGGCATGTTTTTGAAGTGGAAACAACATTGTAAGATAGAGCCGATAATAATCACAGGCCCATTAAAGCAGGTCCAGGTTATTTAAACACAATTTATTCCTTCTAAGAAATTATGAACGTCTTTATAACTCACATTTTATTATTATTATTATGATACTACCTAAACTCAGTTATTTCACCACAGCATTTTAAATATGGTCTCATGCCTGCAGCAGTTGACAAAATGGCAGTTTATATTCTAGAGTACAAACATGTAGGTACTTTCTAAACTCTGTACATTTCTCAGACTCAGACTCACTTTCTCTCTTTGGGAAAGGCGTGACAGCTGTGAGATGATGAGGGGAGCTGAAGGAAAATATTGATTCAAGTGTCACCTCCGCTCCTTTATAATGAAAAGCTAAAGGTGCAAGAAGTGAAAAAGTCAGTATTGCCTCATCATTTAGCAATATGATGAAAAAAATCATATTCAAACTAGAGAAAAAGTATCTGCTGAAAAAAACAGTCAATGGACATGGCGTATCATTTTATTTACAGAGTAGAGAAAATATATGGATATGATTATGGCAGCATATTCATTAAAAGGCACCATTTGGCAAACGTTAATGAAAATGGTGTGTGAATACATTCTCAGTTTTTAAATAACTTTTTTTTTTTTGTAATTCCAAAGATAGATATCTACACACTGTACACTGTATTTTACATGAGTTGGTACATTTCTAATTAGTGATAGACACTATGCAACTTTCTGGGGGTGGAAAGTCAACTGCATGATTCCATGGAAATATAAAGTTAAAACCATACTACAGAACATTTTCCATGGACATAGACATGTTTTGTGTCGTACTGAGGAATATTATAGCCAAAGGAACGACATTTCCATGGAGACAAGCAGAAAGAAGCCCTCCTCCAGGAGACAAAAAAGATGAAGTTGCATAGTGGGGCTTTAAAGACAGTATAGTAAAGGTAGGCAGAGGTAGGTGAAGACTGACTAACTGTTCAAAGAATTTTCACATTATTTTTTTTTATTTTAAACAATTACAAATACTAAAACAATTAATCAAAATTTTGCTTAGACAGATATGATTACGGGGTATGCCAGTTTTGACAACCTAATGAAAGAGTAGAAATGTAATAAAGAATGACTTGCAAAAATTATCCAAGTAAATACCTATTTATGCATTATAAGAAAAGATTCCAGTGGATCTCAAACTTCTCTCTAGATAGATGGTTTTGTGGTTGTCAGTAGCAGCCAGGCTTCTTGGAGCCAACCCTCTCTTCCACCTCTATGTTTATTTTAGTCCCTCTGCACAATACAACAACTAAAACAACAGTATATATTATATATATATATATATATACTCTGTCATTTGAACCATAAAGATTTGAATTACAGCTATGTGATTATTAAGTAATTATTCCTCACATGACAAATTAACATAGCAGCATTTCTTAAGAGAATAAATAAGGTAAAGAGAGAGTTTCCGCCAACAGCTGATGCAAGACAATATAGACTGATATTGGCTATAAATAAATGTGTATGTACTTCCTATTGCTGAGACAGTAGGCCTATCGGAGTACAGGAAGAACAGGAAACAAGGCTGTAACTGAGATTTTCAATCCTGCAATGCTGGGTTTATTTTAGTGTCCATAAACATGGCAAAACAACACAACCACTAAAGTGAATATAGCTTTATTGGGGCAACTGTTGGTGGTTGGGATATTTTAAACAACAAGTGAGCATTTGCCCTCTAAGTGTATGTGGTAAATAATAACAAAAGTAGCAGAAGTATTTTGGTACCTCCAAAACTATAGCTTTGTGTTCCCAGTCTAGTGTTGCCATGATACTAAAATTTCAAACTTGATTTCCATACAAAGGAATAGACTTGATACTCAATACCAATTCCAATATGATAAAAAAAACAAACACTCTTTATTTAGACAAAAGAATGTGATTTTCAACATAAAATCATAGTATGTTCTTTTCTGTTACTGTGTGGTCTTATGTCTGTGTAATCCCTCATTTGTCCAGGTAGATTCCATAGTGGTCCATGGGCGTGCGCTAGTCTATGTAGTCTTATACTTGTTCTGATACAGCTCAAGATCCTTTAAAATCTATTCAGGAAAGGTTCATTTCTGTCCTGTGAATGTGACTTTATTAGTATCAATACCTGCTCAAATGAGCATCTAGTTTTAAAACTAATTGATTTTCAATACTTTTGCAAAAAAAAACTATACATCGAATACGTATAAGTATTATTAATATACCACCATTATAATGGGCATATAGCTGGTTGCACAATATACAATACATTTAGTGCATATAGACAGGGATATAAATTAGACTGAGGCTTGTTGGTTGTGTGTATAGCATATTATTCCTGTTCTTCTTAATTAGCAAGAGGCAATTTACTGTTAATGAGCATAAATACATCAATAAATTAGTTCATTAGGCACTAAGCATAGTGTGCCAGTGTTGTTTGGCATATCCTATAGGAATGGGAGTAATTGACAGACTTAAAATAAAATAAACAGTCTCGTTAAAATACTCAGTCTTACCAAATAATTCAGTAAGTTCCTGCATCGTCCCATAGGCAGTAAGTTGTTGGCATTACCCTTATTTCCCACATGTCAGTAACAGTTTGTGATTCAGTCCACGTTTTTACACAATTCTAAAACTATCTGATTAAAATCTTCAGCCTGGTCTGCAAAAACGTAATGCCCAGCCCCACGAATGGTCTGTAAAAACAAAATTATAAAAGAGTTTTATTAAGTATTAAAGTGAATTTATCAAGCTATGTACAATTTATATATAGCTGGGTAAATAAATGCAACAAAGATACAATATATATATACAGATTTGGCATAATAACATTTTTAAAATACAGTAGATGTGACTAGAATAATAAAAAGTGTTTATGTATTTAAATAATGCTCATTTGAATTTACAGTGTACACTGGAATGAGCATTGATCATGTTATAATTTAATGATATGCAAAGGAATATGTACCCCATACTTTTTATGTAATAAAGTTAGATTTGTTTTGCACCAGTATAGACATATTGTAAAAGCAGCTCCTATGGTCCAAATGAGACCACTGTGTGCTATCTGGCGTTAAAAAAGTATTTTTATCTGTGAACTAGGAAATAAAAGTGGTGCACTATTAGCATGCTGTTGTATGCATTACTGTGACTGCAAAACTGTGAAAGCTGTACTTATTAGCTCATTGCAGTGAATAATTAGTATGCCAGGAATGCTTTAGTGAAGTCAGGTTAAAAATGCACCAGTGCAGTTTTTTTTAGGTACAGCGCCTTTAAACTTTTAAAAGGGAGTGTCACTTACGATGATGTCCACTCTTGAGCTGGGCCTGATGTTTTTGATAGCACTCCCGGAGTTGCTGTCTATACTGGACCTGGAGCCATAGATGATGGAGATGGGGATGCCAGGATGTAGTCTGTCTATTCTGTGCAGCATTGGCCTCTTAGCCCAGCCATTAGGGAGAGTCATGTTTTTGAACGCTGTTTCCCCACTGTTGAAAAAGGAATATGATCACATTCAAGGTTCAGAAATTAAGCTGTGTAAAATCTTTGGTAGGATTAAAGAACGAAGAGGGATTAACTAGAAGCACTGGGGAATCATATACTGTGGTTGGCCATGCTATTTTGTAATGGAAAATTTGCTCACTTAGGGATTAAACATTCCAGATTTTTTTACCTAAAAAAACTATATACAAAGATAAAAATAAATAAATATAGACTACTAGCTACCAAACTAATGATCAGATGTGAGCAGCATTATAAAATAAGATTAAATATATAAAAAGACCTTGGCGTTTGAACGTTTAAGTGGTATATGTAGTCTGACACTGTGTTGTCATCAAACATGCAGGAAAACTTCTTCTTAAAGTCTGGTCTGAGGGTCTGCACCAGTGTGGGACCTAAAGAGAGAGAGAGAGGGACAGAGATTCTCAGCTGTCATAGTGAGCCATGTAGCTATTAAGAAACAAGGACACATCATTATACTTAACATGATTTTGAAGAAATGAGAGGGCAGGCAGCTATACAGAAGTTAAGTGTTGAAGCTTAAGATTTTGCGGTTCACAGTTCACTGGGTCTTAACTTTTAATGAAAGCGAATACCGGTACATGTGATGAGAATAAAAATGTGTGTGGAATTAAACTTTTACTGCAAATAATGTGGAAGAATTTGAAGGCTGCTACACAAAATAATGAGACATACAGTAGTAGAGTAAAAAACATACAGTAGTAGACATACAGTACTAGGGATAAAAAGACAGACATTTAAATGGTCACAAAAAGCATAATAAAACAAAAAAATAAAAACACTACCGTTTTGGGTCTATTGGAACTTCCATGGCATTGCTCATTTAGATTTTTAGATTTAGATTTTGATGAGTCAAGATTTTTTTAAATAATTAATATGCATTTGATCTGCTTTTAGTAAAACACTTCACCTTTGACACTTTGAAACTAACTAACACCGACCATTTTTGTAAGCATTTAAACATTTATCCAGTTTTCATACATATTTCATATTTCCACTCACTTGTATAATACATTATGATCTCTATTCACCCTCTCTTCAACATCACCCTGCTCAGATCACGGAGGTCCCTGTATTAAATAGCACGTGTACTGTGTGATCCTTGGCTCTCACCTAGTGGTCCCACCAGTCTGAGGCCAGCCAGAGGGTTGAAGGGGCTGAACATGGCGCCCACAGCTTTGATCCACACTGGGATGGGGCGGTCCGGGTCGCTTTGGTCAAAACTCTCTGGGAAACCCCACGGCTCCACCAGGATGATGTGCTTTACTCTACAAAAAGACAGAATATGTATGAACTACAGTCAGTTCATTCATCAACTTATCAGCCTGCAACTGAAACCTGTCCTGATTATACAACAACACTTAATCAAATAGCTCACTAGGGTATATTTTGGAGCCCAAAGATAAAACAGGCTCTTTTACACTGGGTATAGTTTGGGGCCTAATACAGTTTATACTCAGCCAGCCACAATATTACCATATTGACTTATCGTTCAATATATGAAAGTTGGAACAATATATTTTTGGGCTCAATATTTACTGTGTGTACAATTTCTTTGCAATAGTGGGGAGATTTTTTTAATTTTAATGTAATAATCAAAGACTTGAGCTGTAGAATAAATCAATTATATTGTTAATTATGACTTCATTCTGCAATTTAATTGTTGTAGCTAAGGACTTTTAATGGTAATGTATATTTAAAAATATGTTTACTGGGATTATCCTGCTTGACAGTCACAGTGACAGTGGCATAATTATTTTCAATATTATTGTTTATTGCAATATTTCTCTGCAGCAACTATATTGCTCCAAAATTTGTTATCGTGACAGGCCTAGCCTATACCTTGTCATATCATTGACCAAAAAAAATTCTTGAAGTCTCTTAAAGTAATGACAAGTACATTTTTAATTAATAGTGAGTGGGATTTATATTAGTGTGTGAACACTAATATGAACAATATAATATCATCCAAAGCTGTACAACAGACACAAACTGTATGCAAAAGAGCAACTCTTACATATTTTTTTTAAAGGCAGCCATTTGCCGAAGGACAAACCTTGCAGTAAGGCTTAGTACAAGAACACATGTCTGATCAAGAGCATCTCTGTTAATAACTTGAAGGCTATTCGGTAAAGTAGCATGATAACAGCAAAAAAAGAACAGGCAAAAGAGAAATGAATTTTAAGCGTTACTGATGCAAAGAGTTGATAAGAGATTGGGGCCATTTTAGCAGAGTCCCTGGGGAGGAGAGCCAGTGCTGAGCTGAGATGGGGAGTGGGAGATAGTCACTCAGACACTTGGAGGACAGAACTGTTATCTTGGTCTGCCAGCGCCTACAGCCACAACTACATCCAGGAAAGGTGCTGCTATGTGCTCTGCCCATGTTAGGGTCATTATTCAAAGCACTTCCCGGTTTGCTTCTGGGCACGCACTTAATCTACTATTTGTCCTTTACTGGTATAACACAGGCTGCTGAATGTAGAACAATGTAAATCAGGGAACAGCACGCCATTCCATGAACCAGTCTGAGGTCATAAATAAGATCAGTGTTGGGAAGTAATAAAATACTGAACTACGTATTCACAATACTAATTTTGTAGTTACTGCATTATTAAGTCCTTCTTTTGGTATTATTAAAAATGTAATTACTATCTTAAAATCAAAATGTGGGGCATCTGGCATAAGAACCAAACAATCAACTGAAAAAAAAAAAAAGCTCTGCATAATTACATTATAATATTGTCTGCATGTAAAATCAGTAGTTTTATGTGATAGTACTGGCATGTTCCAAATAGAAAGTTCTCATGCGGGCTCTTCCAGCTCCTGACCCTGGCTCCCATTGACTTTGAAATATTGTCGCCCCTCTCTCTGTAACTTCTAAGGTGAGCCTTGTCATTTTGGTCTTAAAATGTTTATATTAACCTGCTCTACATGATCCAGGTGTTTTTTTTTTCCACTATTTTGTTCCTCAAAATAATCCTATTCATAATAGGAGCCTGGCTCAAAATTCACTCCTCTTAGCATCATGAGCTTCATTTGAGTGATGCTGAATGCTGTAGGTGACATCACACTCACTTAGTCCACTTTCTTATACAGTCTATGGATAGTACTGGCAAGTAGCTGTCTCACAAAAACAACAAAGGAAAAATATATTAACAAAAGTTTTGAAATTTGATTTAATACCACTGAAGTATTGGTAATGTTATCCTACTAAGAAACCAACCTTTTATATTGATAGATAACGCTATTCACTACTGGTATACATAAATAAAATCGTTAAATGCTGGTTTCTCTACAGAGTTATGTAGTTTGAATTATAACTGAAAAAGTGATGGTGAATAACAGTGAAAATGGGAAAAAAACTGCATTCTTACAGTACACTCACCTGTCTGGATATTTAATGCCGTACGAAACAGCCAGATACCCTCCTAGGTTATGCCCCACCAGGATCATAGTCTCCAGCCCTTTCTTCCTCCTCCACTGTTCAATGGAGTTCACAAACTGCTCCTCTGCCTCCTGTGGATCTGAGGAGAACTGCGGTCTGCTGCTGAGTCCAAATCCCAACAGGTCTAAAGCCAAGACTGGTCTGTGCCGCGAGAGCACGTCCACATTCTGAGCCCAAAGTCCAACTCCGCCTCCAAAACCATGAAGGAGAATCATGGGGGTCTTGTGTGAGAATGTGTCGCAAGGGAAGGTGAGTGTCCATAGCAGGTTGTTATGGGAAATAGTGACATACTGTTTGGAGAAAGAGCTCGAGACACCTAGAGAAAGAGGCCATAATGAGAAATATCAACCAATGTATCCAGTTTTAACATCAATATAGTACTTTAAGGTACTATTACACTAAATTAACTCTTGTAAGCTTTAATCCATGTTATAATTCTGTTATCTCCTCAAAAAACATACCTGGAGTTGTGTTTTGTTTCATTTACACATGTTTGAGCAACCTTTTATAATTAGTCTGTCTACATCTCCAAAACTCAAAATGCTCTGATCCACCTTGTGATGTCATGAAACGGTAGTTTTCAAGTGAATAGCTACCTTTTACCTTTTACCTTTAGTTTAGTAGAGGTTGGCAATTCCGGGGCTATAATCATTCAAATGATTCTAGTGAAGGTGTATGGAGTTTAAAAACACAGGGGAGCACTTCCTGTATTACCATGACATCACAAGGTGAAACAGAAGAACACAGCCTAAATATGCAAGGTTTGTGTGTTAAACCTGTGAAAGAAGCAAAACACAGCTTGGATGTGTTCATGTTATACAATTTAATGTCATAATTTCAGATGGACGGTAAGTGCTTTTAAAACTTCATGTGAGATTCACCGTTTTGGAAAGAAATAATACAATCAAATTATGGTGCACAAATGTTATTATTTGTTAGGGATTGGCTCCACATAGAGTAATTAAAGTGATATTAACCATAAACCAGGTCAATGTCTACAATCTGCCAGTTAAATAGCAAATTCCACCACAAAACTCTGACCGGCCCTTCACTACAGCTCAATTTGAAACTTTAGGATTTTAATATGTTGTGAATGCAAAGGATTTGGTAAATATGCCCACTAAAATTCACTTGATAATACTATTTGCCTTCCTACACCTACTGAACAAAAATAATACACAGACTGCTGCAACTAATAGTTTTCTGTCAAAATCTACATAAATTTGATCTATACAGTCCATATTGAGACATAGAAGGAGCACCCATTTTAACCTTCTCACTATGTGGCAGAACTAATCATGAAATCACATGCAATCAAGGAAGCCCTGATTTCATTTGATTGCACATAGTCATACGAACAGGTCAAGTATTGTTTTCGCTCTAGCAATAATCATGGCATTTAAACTCATATAGAAACATACACACATGCAAAGTTACATTTCAGACAGTCTCTTACATCGCAGCATCTGTTCCTCTGCTGTCTTTAGTTGGTTTAGCGAAGTGGGGCACCATGACGGCAGCCAGTTAGGGAGCCAGCACCACCTACAGAGAGCAGGGGATCAGGTGAAACATGGGCCTAATATTATACAAAAAATCCGAGGCATTTCGACTTATGTCAAAAGTGCTATAATATAAAACTAGACTAGCTAAAATAAAAGTAAATATATTTATTTTATATTTACTTTATTGTACTTATATATACATTTGAAAATGTGTCCCCTTTTTAATTAAACTCTGAGGTAGTCTGACTGAAGTCAAAAGTCAGGACTAGCTAGTCCCGTTTTATATTAAAGAACTTTTAATGCAGTCGGAGTGCCTCGTTTTGTTTTGCTTTTTTGTTTTTTTTAATAGTTATTATTATTGTTTACAACTTTGTTCTCACAGTGAAAAATATAGGACTACATACACACTCCATACAGTTGTACTACAATTGCCTGGACAGTCAAGAATACATACTTCTCCAGTACTGGAATATACAGAGAGAACCAGTCAGTTAAAATAAGATATTTTTTTCAAATATATATTTACTTATATTTTATTGTACTTCTATATACATTTGAAAATGTGTCCTCTTTATAATTACTGTATTTATTTTTTCATCCCACTCAATTTGCTGTGTTATCAAGAACTATTTGTTATATTCATATAACTGTAATTTCCCTTGTGGATCAATAAAATGTATAATTAGTCTAATAAAAACTATTGTGGATGGGCTTTTGTCAATTCAAGCAACTTTATAATTAGTTACCTTATAGTTGAATCCACGTATTCCCAAGCATTACTGACAAGACTGTGAACTCCAGCAGCAGCTAGCACTTTGTGAATGACCCTGAGTTCAGAAAAGAGTGAAACAAAAAGTATATGAGGCCAAAGAGCACAAATCAGGGCACAGGTTTACAGTTCCACAGATAGGAAGTGATACAGAATTCCTCGGTAAATAATGTATTGATTAGAGTAGCATTTGTACAGTACAGTTTGAATGGTTTTCATGGGGATCATGAAGAAGGCAAATGATCACTCTTTGTCCTCAACAAGGACAAACATTCAGCAGAGAACACAGTAGTGAAGAGTCCCATACATTTCCTAGTAAGTAAATAAGCCATTCCTAGAAATAGAGGAGAATTGATTTGAGTTAAAATAGATAATATCATGAATGTTGTAAGATATTTCACATTTGATTATTGAGTTTATTAGTTTAAACAACAAAATGCTGCAAAAGGGACTGACTAAAAATGAAAATGAAATTAAAATACATTTTTATGAATCACCAAATAAGGGTACGGCCTACAAAGAGATATTTCTTCACTTTATTTGGGTAAAATTGCAATAATTTCACATTTATCTAATATTTAATCCACAACTGCTACATTTAGAAACATGTTTCAACATGTTTCTCTTGAACCAACATAACCTTTTCTGAATATTGTTATCGGGATACTCCAAAAACATGTCAAGATAATCAGCTATGTTGCCCAGCCCTACACAGAAGAAGCACTAAACCCAAACTACAATTTTACACACAAAGTCTATGTGTTTCTTTTGCATTCATGTTAAAAGTTTGTTTCCTTTTCTCCTTCTGTTTTTTTTTTTTTTTTTTTTTTTTTTTTTTACCTTCAAGGCCTAGATATTTTCTAGTAATAGTTGTAACCGCCTTTTACAACCTTGTATAGAAGACAAACTGAGATGATGACATTATAGTTCACAGGTATTATAGGTCACAGTTTGGCTCCAGAGGTAAAGGTCAGCAGCCTATAACACCCCTTAAGTTCCTTTATCCAACCGCGAAACTGATTGGTACAGCGTGTTCCCATTGACTAAAAAAGTTATGTCATAGGCACAGACTTAAACATACAGCGTGTAGGGAACACATGTTTACAATAATAGAATACTGCTGTACTTATAGTGCTATAAAGCTGTTAGGAGCAAGGTAATGACAAAGATGTGCAGTAGATAACGTAAACACGAAAGGATCACAATGACACAGAAGAGAATGGAGAAATAAAAGTGATTTAGTTGAAAAAAACATACCCTCTGCTCGCTGCCACCTCCCGCTCGGCCATAGCTCCAACATCAACACTACTTCTCCGGGTCACGTGACCAGCGTAGGCACGTCAATACAACTCCACGGTGGCTAAGAAGCGTTTGTTTTTATTTTCCGATAATCCGTATTCTAGGAAGTTCCGCGCCGTTCTCCTTACCCGCCCACGCAGACAGTTAGCTCGGTGCATACAACGAGCGCATCCAAACGCAGAGTGTCAGGCAGTGCGGATGTAACTTTGCTGTCTAGGATCTAAACATTGCTCTGCTAAAAGAGCGTAGGTAAGTAGCCAAATTGACGCACTAACTTCCTATTGAAATCGAAATTGAAGATATTTAAACGCTTTGCACTTTCATATGTCGCTGTCTTGATGTACTGCCGTAGCTCTATAAATAGCCTCCAATTCAAAACAGAAGTATCAGAAGTACCTACTTGCAACCCATAGAGAACTTGCTAACGTTGACATTATTGCGAAATACTGAGACACAAGCTACTGTTCAAACTCATTCATTACCAGCAAAGTCACATCAGCATCCCACTGTCTATGACCAGTGAGAATGGATCAAAGTAATATAATGTTGCAAGTTAGATGCATGTTTTGGTGTGGTTAATGCATCTGTCACGGATATTCTTAATCTTATCTTTTGTAGCTATTAGAAATCATTCACTGGGTGTGGTGTTGTAGGATCCACCTTTGCACTTGAGTTTAAAGGGAATCAGTCCAGTCTGTAATCTGGGCCACAGCTTCCTCCACAAGAGACTTTGCCTCCTCTAATTGATCTGGAGTATAATGAAAAACAAATACATACATTTTTGTCTTTTAACTTTACCAAATTAGAAAATTTTTAATGCACATGTTTATTAAACATGTGCAAATATGTACTTCTAGAAACATGCTACACCATCCTGTATAAAATTTGAAAATTAAGGGTTTGAGGTTGCAGTTTACCTACTTCTTAGTATAGGCACAGCAAAGTTACTACAATAAAACATCCCTGCTAACATTATTTCATGAGGTTGTTGTCTAGTTAAAAGCCCCACATTTTGCTTGGAAATGTGTTTATTAAAAGAGCTCATACCTAAATAACTCTACGATCTCATTCTGTGTTTAAGTGCTGTCCCTAATCAAATAGTCTTTAGTTTACTGCTTGCTTTCTACTATGCATCTCTGCTGTCTAAATGGAAGTGTACATGGAGCGTGGCTGCGTAGGGGGGAGCTCCCAGCTGCCACTGTCAGTATCTGCCTGTCATCTGTTCCTGCTCTAATGCCTCCACACATCATGTCTGTGAATAAATTAAGCCTTCCCTCAGCATGTTAGAGATAATAATAACAAGTGCTACTGTTCATGGAGGAGTAAAATGATGACTGTATATTCCAGTGCATACCTGAATGCATACCACACTACACCTTAAGTAAAGAGACAGTTTGAGTGTTTGAGAGTCATCTGGTAGAAATAGTGGAAACGCTTGAAGGTTGCCGTTATATAAGTTTACATACTATTGTGCATTTAATTAATATGACAAATACATAACAACATTTTTCTTCTTAATAAATTCTTGCCAAGGTATGAATATAAGTCATCAGGAAACACGTTTTGCCACTTAAATGGCTGGCTGAATGAAGGGAGAGCAAAGTAATGTTTTGTATACTTTCCTGTAAAGGAGGACTGGCTTGGGGTGCAATGCAGTCATCTGAAAGTTTCACCCCTCTGGTGGTGCTTGAGCTGGTCTCAGACACCAAAGAAGAAGCCGTCTCTTGGCTGCTCCAGAGGATACGAGATAAACAGCAAAATGGAGGTTTGAAATTAAAATTTTTTGTAATAACTGATTTTGATATTGAATAGTTAATATAGTCTGTTTTTTCATAGGCGCTGAGTTGCTGGTCGAACAGCTTGGACCAGGGGTAGGGGTTCAAGAGAAACAAAATCCAAACTTATTCCTAATCGGGGCGTCGTTACAGAGACTGTTGTCTGGAGCTGAAGATGTGGGTCTTTTCAAAGAGTTCAGTGATGGCTCTATGAGGAGCTTCACCTGTGCAAATAAACAAAACTTTAAAGACTTTCAAGGTGGGGATTGTCCTCTGTCTATTGCTCTTACAGTATGGCTCAAGTTATTGAAATATTCTGTATTTGATGTAGTAATAACCAAAATGTTTTCATATTGCTGCATGAAAGGGAATACATAAACCATTATTCTTTTACAGCAGCATGTATCATATTATCAAAAGTCATATATACTGAATAAAACGTATGTCTGCTTAAATGCAGTATGTTGTTGCAGTAACAGCTAAAAAGCTATTGAACTATATAAGCAATCATCCTTTGGCCGGTTTGGTCAGTGCTGACAACTGTTATTAAGCATTTTTATATCTTAATTCTTGAACAATCACAGTAATGATAGCACCAAAGGCTTTTCAAGACATTTTACAAGTGAATCCACAATTCTGTTAGCCTTCCCAAAATAATGCATTAAATATCTTTATATTTTTTTCTTTTACCACATTGTGCTCTATTTTCTCTTGAATATAATGGCTGTTTTTGTTTGCAGGTGATGGAGATGGCTTCCTGAGCATGGCCGAATGTCAGTACATAATTAAACATGAGCTGGATACTCTACGAGCCAAAGATGAGACTCATATACCAGGATACACACAGGCCAAGCTCTATCCTGGAAAATCAATTAGTGAGTACAGCTTCACGCAGACCATTTAGAGTAGACTTATTTGCTGCACACTAATAATGTTCAGGGGGAGTTACAGCTCTACATAATTAATATACGTATGATTAAAACAATAATGGATTTTTAGGAGCTATTGTTCTTCAGAATGTCACCCTGATGGCAAATTATTAGGGCATTTGTAAATTACTAAAATCAATTTCATGCTGTAATAGCATTCTCCCTAGTTCTAATTTGATAAATTCATACATATTATCTCCCACAGGTTTTGCCATTATGTGTGTTTGGTTCATTATTGCAAGAAAAATTTGTCAGTTTTACAGTATTCTTATTGGGTCCCTGAGCAAAGCACTTCACTCCATCACATCTGGCTAAATGAAGCCTGTCAAAAATGGTGTACTATTAGGCATTTAAACAGTTCTTACTTTGTATTTGTCATCTGTTGTTAGTAGTACTGTTTAGTAGGGGTGAGCATTTCCATAATTATGATTTTTTAAAATGAAAAATATGGCATAAAAACTTGATTCAGATGCATTTTGAATTGATACGAGAATCGTGTAGTGAAGCATCATGATATATCACTGAATTATTTTTTTACATGATTTTTTTATAATTGATTACTGATAGTAGTAGACAACGTACAATAATGTATGCATCATAAATAATGACACTATTACTCTAAAAATCCACAATAAATTCTGTTTTTTGTCATTACTGCTAAGAAAAAAACTCCCCTATATCCCAATGAAAATCTTGTGTTTGCTAACATCTGCACTTTTCCCCTCCGAGTCCTAATAGTTGTTAAAAGAAGCAAAACTTAATGAAAAAAACACATTAATTCTCTGCCTACACTTGTCCTCCCGTCACCTCTCTGTCAGCACCACCCCCAGCTTCTTTGTTTCTCTCTCTCTCTTTCTCTCTCACTGGCTGTGGTATAGAATAATAAATATGCAAATGTGCTGAAATATTCCCAAAGTGAGATAAGGAAGAGGCAATGAAGTCGCGGAGCAGATAGGGGGCCTCTATTCAGCGCTTGTGTTTGACAAATCGTGTTAAAGCCGAATGTAAGCGCATGGGACAAATGATGCTCTCAAGAAATGGCAGATGAAATGATACAGCCATCATGTAGTCGTATTAAGTCACTTAGCACAAGACAATGGAAACTGTTTCTATAGACTTTGTATTGTGTACAATAGGGAACATTCCAGCTATGTCCTCCTACAATTGGTATATTATTAATAGTAGGAAAAATAAGGAAACTAAAACTTATAATTGATGTTAACTGCTAGTACTACTGTCCTCTAGTTGTGTTGTTTCATTTATGCATGTTTGAGTAACCCTACATTCTTAGTTTGTTAACTTGAAAACTACCATTAAAATATAGACAGAGACCTTTTGTTCAATAGAGGCTGACAATTAGAGGGGCTGAAATCATTCAAATTATTCTACTGAAGGTGTAGCTGAAGCTGTTTTACCAGATGAAATTACAAAGTGGAACAGAGTGTTTTTGTTTTAAGAGAAAGTCTCAGAATAAATGTACAGGGTTTGTGTGTTAAACATATGTGAATTAAACTAAACTCTTGGTGTGTTTTTCATGAGGAAACAACATTGTAACAGATCAGAAAGTAGCATATTATGGGCCCTTTAATATGGTAATACATTAATTAACATGATACATTTATTTAAAATTGCGCTTTGTTAGTTCGCAGATTACTGTCTAAAGGAATCATGGTTCAGATGTTTCCTCTCCATGAGAAGGAAGAACTGAAGAGACTCTCATTTTCGTGGTTCAAAAAGGTCAAGTTGTCTCTCCAACCTCTAGGTAAGAACACACTGGTTTGGAAAACACAATAGTGTATCTTTTACATTTACAACTCTGATGTTTATTTTCTTGGCAAAATGTGTCCAAAACAGACTCCACATGAGATAGGTTTTATTATTATATTTTAATATTTAATTACATTTAATGTAGGGGAACAGTAGACCCATATTCCATGCACAATATCTATTACTTTGCTTTCTTGTTTAGAAGTAAAAATACATACATTTTAGACATCTTATGAATTGACATTTTTGTATAATTATGTGAAAATTAAAGAGCTATAAAAAGTAATTATTGTCTGTTTAACCTTGACCCCTGTGCCTTTAATGCTATTATATGTATGTTTGTGTGTGTTTAATGTAGTTAACTACACTGCTGTTCTGTCTGGTCCCTGACCCATCTTTTCCTGTTGTTCCACAGATGATATCAGACACTACTTTGGAGAGGGTCAGGCGCTGTACTTTGGGTTCCTGGAGTACTTCACTTTCGCCCTGATTCCTATGGCTTTAATTGGCATTCCTTATTATCTGTTCGACTTCGAGGACTATAACAAATACGTGGTCTTTGCAGTCTTCAACGTGATTTGGTGCACTGTTATACTTGAGGTATGGGATTACTGTGTTTAATGATGCTTAGGTGCACTGTGCAACTTTTCTGGTGGTGGGTTTGCCAGCTGCTTGTCTCCACTTTGTTATCGCTTTTCCTTGAATGTTCCACAGTATGGCATTATACTTCTCTAATGCCACCAGGGCAAAATATAATGCAGATCTCTGGAGACTGGAGAGGTGACGCCAATCACAGTAAGGTTGCCTGTTTTCAGTAAAAGCACATTAACTGAATGAACGTTGATGCCATACTGTGGAACATTCCAGACAAAGCAGTGACAATAATTTCCTAATAATTTCCCACAAGAAAAGATATTACGTTAGTAGTAATGGTATACCTTGAATAGTAGAAAACAACAGTACAATTTAAATAATGTTAATAAGATCAACATCATTATGTTTCTCTTTTAGTTATGGAAGCGTTTCAGTGCTTCTCTTGCCTATCGTTGGGGGACACTGAGCAGAAAAAAGGCGTTTGAAGAGCCACGCCCTGGTTTTCATGGGGCCCTTGGGTTCAATCCAGTCACAGGACGCAAGGAGCCTCTGTACCCCAATGCAAAGAGACAGCTCAGAGTCTACTGTGTGTCTGTGCCCTTTGTGCTCCTGTGCCTTTACCTGTCTCTGTATGTCATGATGATATACTTCCAAATGGAGGGATGGGCTCTGTCTCTCCATGATGAGAACCCCTCGTTCTGGACTGGGATCCTGCTCTTCATCCCCAGTATTATCTATGCAGTGGTCATCGAGATCATGAACCTCATCTACAGATATGCTGCAGAGTTTCTAACTGAGTGGGGTGAGCTCTTTTAGTTACTCATTTAAAGTATTATTGATTCAAATCTTGTGCTATTTGGAAGTGTCTTTGGACAATGACAGGTTTGAATTTAATTAGTGAAGTGTTCCTTTGCTTAGGGTATCCTAAATGTGTAAGAAACTCCTTTCAAATATTTGCAGCTTTCTTCAATGTTTAATTGATTAAAATAACTTTATTTAAGATGTCCAAATTGCAGTGAAAGATACAAACCGACTCAGTACATACCACATACTACAAAAATACAAATATTTGCTCTCTACTCTACCCTAATCTGTGCTGACATGACTTGTCTCCTATTAATATTAGTTTAGCAGTGTAACCTGCTTGAACAGGCACTACCCAACACACACTACCCAACACACAATTACCAAACACATGGCAATTGTTCACTTGTAGAAACAGTGGCTCTTGGCTTTTATTCTAATATAGTTTTTTAATTTAAATGCACAAATGTCTTTGGTCAGAGGTCTTTGTATTTCTAGAACTAACAAGATCTCCAACATATGCTCTCTTATGCTCTGTCATCTTTAACCAGTTTTTATTTATTGACATGTTTTATCTCCTAACAGAAAATCACAGGCTGGAATCTTCATATCAAAATCACCTGGTCCTTAAAGTTTTAGTTGTAAGTCACATATCCCCGTATAACTATGCCTTGTTTTTATTTTCTTGTAAAACAAATTTTTACTTCTGCCTTTTCTCTGTGTAGTTCAACTTCTTCAACTGCTTTGCCTCCCTCTTCTACATTGCTTTTGTAATGCAGGACATGGCGCTGCTCAGACAGGTATGTCTAATATCTTTTGTTTGACTACTTATGTTTTATAAGCCTATTATATCCATGCAAATTCTCATTCTCTACGCACTTTTGTCTCTCAGAGTTTGGCCACACTGCTGATCACCAGTCAGATCCTAAATCAATTCATGGAGGCCTTCCTGCCATATTGGCTGCAGAGGAGACGCAATAAGAAGATGATCCGAAAAGTCAAGAAGAAAACCACACTAGAGGACAAAGCAATGCCCTTAGAGGAACAAGTCCGACTGGAGGCTGACATGAGCACGTATCTGGTGAGCTGAAGGATAGGACAGAGCAGGTACCACCTCAAGAAAGCTTGGATTGAACCAGGGAAGGAGCCAGGGAATGACAATCATAACCTAGCCCAGTTTGCCATTTGATTTCTCTGTATATTTAACACTAGTATAATATTAATATATAATAAAAATGATTATAATCTTATCTGGGGACCATCTGGGGCCCTAAGCTATTGTCAGCAGTTTGCTGTTTGAATTTATTTTAACCCATCACTTATGCATGGTCTGTGAGATGTGCCACTCTGAAATGGACAAGCTAAATACACAAGGTCTTTTAATCACATCAATCAAGTTTGTTCACTTTTGGATAACACCTTTATAATCTCTTCTAATGATTAAGCTGAATTTGAATGTGCACTATCTATCTGGTCTAATAGAGAATCCACCTGTTTGCCTCTGTGGATAAATTTTTCAATCTCCATGGCAAAAAGGACACATGCAATTGATAAAATTCAAGATAAATAAGTTTAATGTCATATTGTAACATAAGATATTCTTGTTTTGCCTGGAATGTTAAATAAACTCAAGCAGGTGGTAGACCGTCCTTCAGAAAAAGTTACATAGTGCACCTTTAACTAGAAAAGAGAGACTAACATATAGCTCACTTCTCTATAGGGCACTTTTGATGACTACCTGGAGTTGTTCTTGCTCTTCGGATACGTCAGCCTGTTTTCGTGTGTGTATCCTCTGGCTGCTGTCCTGGTCGTGTTGAACAATATCACTGAGGTTTACTCTGACGCCTTCAAAATGTGCCGTGTGTTCAAGAGGCCTTTCTCTGACCCAGCTTCTAACATAGGAGTCTGGCAGGTGAGTACCAGTACTAGGCCTGAACAATGGATAGTAAAGAACTGCATTATTTAGTTATCACTTTACTCAAGATAAACTGGTTTAGGAATAATGCTATGGATAATATATGTTTAATTAATCAATTTCTGATACGGTCAATATTTTGGTTGGTACCTTTTTCTCCTTTGTAGGCACCAGAAAATTTTTTTGGTATTTGAACTGTACTTTTTGGTACTTATTTTGGTATTATTAATTATGTAGAACTGCATTAACAGATAGGAAATTCATTGTATGCTATTTATTTGAAGAAAAAGGTACCAGTTTTCAGCTTTTTGTACTAGTACTACCTAAACTTTTTTGGTACTGTATCGTCTCTTTTAAGGGCACCCAGTAGTTTCCTCCTACAATTGCTTGTTAATATTTAAAATTTAGTTATGAATTTTGTCTTCATTTTAAGTTTAAGTACACATTAGACAGTATAGACCTACAATGATACAACAATAGACCTATTGTAGTTTTAACCTAAATAAAGGTATTCATACATTTCATATTTCACTGCATATTTACAGGCCACTATTGACTTAGGGAGACAAATCTTATCCTGACATCTATGCATAGCTCGGAAGACCACCCTTGGGTGTAATATTGCTATGTACCCAGCCGATATGAACAGGCTTTTGTTAGCATGGCTTGATACGTTTCTATTTCAGGAAAGCGGTTATTGACTTTGTCTCTGTGCGCGGCTCTGTTGCAGCTGGCCTTTGAAGCTATGAGTGTGATTGCCGTAGTGACCAACTGTGCTCTGATCGGCATGTCTCCACAAGTCAAAGCCTACTTCCCTGAATCCGAGATGCAGCTCATTCTGTGGACAGTGGCCATTGAGGTAAGAAATAAATCTGAAGAATATATATACAATAAACTACCAAATACATTATAACGTTAATGCCTTATCTTTCTAATGCATCGAAGTGCAAGTGCAAACCTTTGAATTAGTTTATGTAATGATGACAGCAATTTAAATCTCAGTATTTTAATAAGCCTAAAAATTATTCTGATTGTTCTCCAATTGTTAGAGCTACCATGTGTGGTTAGATTGGCTGACCCGCACTTGTATTCTCACCATTAGATGTTATCTACATTACTGCTATAATATTAACCACAAAAGTGCAGAATTATTACAATTATATTTAAAACATACTGTAAGTCTGCTCATTCTGCAGCACTTGAAATTATTTTATATTGTAAATTACCATATCTTCAAACCAATAGTTGTAATTAAAAAAAACAAAAAAACATAGAAAATACAAAAATATGATTATTTCAATTTTAAAAGTAGAGGACAAAAATAAACCTAAAAATCATGGATATAGGCAGGAGTCTCTGGTTAATTAACCTTAACACTAACGACACCTAACAAGTGCTGAGCAGACGTCAGAAGTGCTGTGAATGAGAGAAAAGAACATGAGGGACACTGGCTCCTTGTTCCTCTGCTGACCTCTGTGCTGCACACCAGGCCCACTCTAATTGATTTTGTATGACTGATTTTGAACAGAGCTCGGTTTGTCTCTTAGGAGAACTCCAACCAGTTTTCTGAAAGCAAGGACAAGCTGCCCCAGATACTACCTTTCTGCTTTTTGAGTAATCAACAGCCAGCATGGAATGTGATGTTGAGGCCTAGCAGTAGTTCCTAGATAACATGTTTACCTGGAAAATATACCTTAAAAACATGCTTTCTTACTGCGAGTGGGGTCACCTCTCCATACACTTCACCTGTAACTTGGCCCTACTGTGTTATCAGCTTGTCACCATGGAGATAGAGCAGTTTAATGCCATGCTGTGAAACATTCCAGACAAACAGAGACAGACTTTAAGAGAACAAGTGCAATAAACTATGAAATCCCAATAAAATAATGAACTAGGGTTGTAATCCTGTAGTCATTTACATGATCGGTCAGTGGGGTTGTTATATGTAAAAAGACGGAATAAACTCATACTTTTTATGTGATGTTTTATGCTCTGTGTGTCTTTTAAGTTTGGGGATAAATTAAGTGTTATCGAAGTTTAATGTCTTTGTAGAAATACATTGTTTCCTAGCACTTTTTCTGCATAAATAGTTGTTTTTGCTTGAACCGCCGTGCAGGTATCGTGTTGCGAGTGTAGTGTAGGTCAGATACATAGATGCGTATTAGTTTAGAAAGCTTTTGTCAAACGTTCTTTTTTAGTTGACTAATAGATCGGTAGGACCAAGAATTTCTTTGGCTGATTACTGCCCTACCACCAACCATATAAACAACAAAACATAATATTTTTTTCTCCTCTTGCAGAAATTGGTCCAATGTTATGATTGCTTCTGTAATTAGCATATTGTTTAAAGTTGAATCCTGAGGAGCAGTTGCCTTGAGAGTGCCAGAAAGTGGTGTGCAGAAAAATTAAGTTTGACTTGCTGAGTATCTCTAAATCACACACACCTCTGTCGGTAGAATACTGTTGATATATATTGCTGGCCACTAGATGGAGCCACAGCCCAAAGCAGCCCTGCACACTGTGAGTGGCTGAGAGGAGGATACGCTCAGAATACTGATAGAAACTGGCAGATTGTGTACATGTTTGAATGAGCTTTTCCACTGTGTCATTGTTGATTTTTCTGTGCATCTTATCTTCGCCTGTAGCTTCCCATATTTCCTCTCCTTCAATGCACCCTTTATTAGCATTAGCATCAAACCACATGCATATGAATAGAAATCACGCTGCAACAAGGTTTTACTAGGGCATATCATAGAGGATAGAGGATATATTTGGATTAACAAGCTCCGTAGGGAAAATTGTGAAATGTCTTGTCTTCAAATGCACTACAGAGCCTAGTTTAGCACCTTGTTGTGGGGCAAATGAGCCAGTTGTAGATGCCAAGCTACAAACTGGGTCATATTGATTGCCTGTATGTTTGATTGAAAGTGTGGTCTATGCCAGGCTCAATGATAAACTCCACTGTAGCGAGAATGGCTTGACATCCTTCTCAATTAGTCTTTGTCAGAATTAAAAGTAGATGTGTGTAATTAAAACTCTTTTTAGTGAGTCTGCTGTGGTCCTTAGTGGCACAGTGAGGTATTTTAAGTCTTGGTGTTTAATATTGAGAGTGCTGCTTGAATATGTTTGTCTACACTAGAGAAATCCTGCTTTTCACCACCATCCTCAGATTAAGTAGTGGTAAGTGATTTTCACCTGCAGCAATCCAATACTTGTATCAGATATTGGCATCAACGTTTGCTACATTGGATATCTTTTTGCATTCATCAGTTCAGCTGATATCCCGACTGGACATATAAACTGATATAATAAGACAATTTACTGTTTGTAGTCGACTCAGAATGTCTCATCTTTTTTCATTCATACAAAGCTGTTCAGCAGTTACTGGGAACAAATAACAGCTACATAACACATTTGGATCAGTTCTGTCTTATCCTAATTTGTGTAAAGGAAATAAATGCTGTTTTTAGTCTTTGCTCTAGTATCGGTTCATTGGGTATCAGCAGATACTTAAAGCTATAATATTGGAATCAGTATCGGAACTGAGAAAGCTGGATCCTTGTGTCCCTACTCTGGGCCAAAGTGACAAAAATGTGACACCTGTTATGTGTCATTGGCCTCAACCATCATCATTCACACTTTTTTTACACTTTTAAGAAATGGCTAACCTAACACCAACCTTTGGATTTGTTGAATTGGTTTAAAAAAAAAAGTAAAGAAAGAAAGTAAAAAATAGATACAGCATCTTTTAAAGATTATTTTAATACATATTTTTCATTGTAATATTATGATAAAATCTCCATTATAATTAGCAGCGTTGTCATCTTTATTATGTGCCACCATCCATCTACACAAATCTCTAGTATCTGAAAACATAATGGCCTAAGTCATCTGTGGGTGTCACTTTACAGATTGGCTCTCCGATACAGCATGTGTGTATCCTTGAATTTAATTAGTCCTAAATGATAACCCAGGCCCTACAGAGTCTCTGACATGTCCTCCCCTTGTACATGGCAGATTTAATTTTAAATCCACTCAACCAGACCACAGCTCTTATAGGATAATTTTCTATACATTTACATGTTTCCCCACAGCTAAAGATCGCCTGTGTCATTTTTCTCATCTGTAGTTACATAAATAAATGGCTAATTGCCATGACATTGACTGAACTTGGATCGCTCCCAAAAGGATGTCCTCTGCTGTGTGTCCCTATGGCTTTTTCCATCCTCTAAGTCTAATTAAAGGAGTTATTATAAATAGTTCAAGTGACAGGGCCCCGCTTCAAACCACATCTCTATTAGTATGCCTGCTGTCATTTGCTGTGGTGGGACTTTGGGCTGCTTTAGTTTATGCATAATGCTATTAAAACATAAAATCATATTAAAGAAGACATATGATAAGCCTATTGATATCTTCAAAACTGCATAAATAAATATCTGATGCTATATTGAACATTTTTGTATGAGCACAAAGTAAAAACGCGGACACGTTTAATTAAAAGTATAACTCAGTAAGCTAGTGATGATCGGCAGACATTATACCATGGCTGAAATGTTTTAATAATATAGCCTCTTAAAGATTTGATCAGATTTGTATATTTAGCAGTATATTTCAGAAACTGCTATTTCTGTCTTTTTAATTTTGTAGTCCATTCAATTTTTTACATAAACGTCAAACAAGATTTTTACAAGGCAGGCACATTGTAGGGATGCACCAATCCTGCGTTTTCATTTGTTTATATAAGAAAAAACGGATCCAAATGTATCATGTAGCTGTTATTCATCCCACAAGTAACTACAGACAAGTTTTGTATAAATAAAAGTAAAAACATTATGACGCTTTCTGGGCAAACTACCTCCAGTAAATAATCGTATTGCATCAATTTATATGTCCAACCAGGATATCAGCTGAATCAATATTTGGAAGCCAGTATCTGAACCAGCAAATTCATCAGGACCGGCGCCAGTATCCAATACGAGTATCAAATCGATGCATCCCTAGCATATCGTAACCTAATTGTTATCAGGCTAATGAAAAAAATATATTCCTTTTTGTCAATGTCACTCACACTTAGTTCAAGTCCACTTGTAGATACTCTTCACCATTGCATTTTTGGGTGGATGGTTTAGCTGAGTTTAAGTGATTTCATGTTCACTATGGTTTGTACAGAAAATGAGGTGTGTACAAACTAAAACAGCATAAGCTTGTAGGCTCTACTAAAACTATTGCACTTACCCCTAGTGAATTTTCTTATGCTTTTTATTTTTGTGTTGATAAATTCTAACAAAAAGAGGTAGCACGCCCTCTCTCATCCATTTCGGCCTCTTTGGAAATGTCTCTTGCCCTGAGTTGCAGTGGACATGACTTTTTAGCCGTTGAAGTCCCTCTGGCCCAAAGGTGGATGATTTCAGTTTGACTTATGCTCCTCTCCTCTCACCTGAATGCAGAGAGGAGGTGCCAGGCTGCTCCACCACTATTAATTTGGTCTCAGCCCTGGAGGTGTGTGTTGTCAGCAGTTCATTGTGTATGCTGTAGTGTGCGCTGCCGCATCAGTCAACAAGGCATTTTATTCTCTGCTCTGGGTCACCAACTGGAGGACAGGTAGAGCCAAGGCTAGAACATGCTTTTTTAAAATGTTTTACACTACAGGACCAGGAATACTGATTCACATTTAGGATGTAGTATTAATTCATCTGTAAATTCCCATGTCATTGCTATTATATTATATTTAAATGCTGAAGAGGATGGCAAAACATCGGCATTATGATCCAAGGATATAATGCTCTGAACACTTGACATTTTGACCTCACTTGCAAGTTTCATAAAACTGCAAGGAAGGTTTGTTGAGTTATAGTTAAG